GTAAATTCAACATTGATAATTCTGTTCAAGAGTATTTCAGTCAAACTACTATACGTAAACTCATTTAAAATAATTAATATAATTACATTGCGTGATTCATTTATAATATGAGAATCAATAGATCGAAGTTCTTGGCATTCTTAAATATTTTAAAGTCATAAATAAGATACAACTTAACACTAATAAATTGATACACTCATGATATCAACTTCTATGAGTTTTATAGAATTAATACATGTTCTAAAAGCCCTTAACATCCATTTACACCTAGATGGATGTGATATTGTATGAACTTACTTGTGTGTGTGTGTGTGTGTGTGTTTATATATATATATATATATAAAATAGTAAGAAAGGAAAGTTGATTAGCTAAGCACTTCTTGTTTTCTACTTTAACGAAACGTGCTTCGTACCACGCCCTTGTCTTTTGGGTTTGGTTGAGTACTGCTTACAAGCAACACGTTTCACACAACCAATCCATCTGCCAGCCACGATTTATTTACTTATTTTTATTTTAAAATTACCAAAACACTAATTTAAATTTAGGATAAAAAATTATATTTAATTTTTCTTACAAATATTTTCTTAATATATAAAAATATTATCCAACATTTTTTTAAAATTAGACGAAATATTATATAAATAATTTTATAAATTTTGGGGGAAAATTACCCTTTAGTTTATCTATTTTTACTGTTAATTAAAAAATTAAATGTATTATTTACTATTAAAATTAGCACTGAAATTTCATATTTTCTTTATTATTTATTATATAATTTCTAAAATTTAACATATCATAAAAAAAATAATTATTTTCTTTTTCTTTAAATACCATATTATTTTCTTAAATATATAAAATAAAATTAATTTTTTTAAAAAATTCTAATTAAGTTGGTTTTTAGGAGTCAGATTTCGCATGAAACACGGGTGTTAATATATTACTAGAAAATGTATATCCGATGTTAATGTCAGAAAGACACAATCTATTCGTAAAATTTATTTTTATTTTTTATAATATTTATAACTAAATTATACTTTTGCATTTATAATTAATTAAAACGTATAAATTAACATGAAATTAACTGTTAATCTTGATTTTTCTAATTAATTAGGTTGTTTATTCTTTTAATCAACCTTCGTAATCTTTGTTATTAAATTTGTCTAATAAAATAAAATCAGCATGTTGACATTTACACAAAAATAAAATAAACATTTGCATGTTGACACATTCAATAAGTCTATTTATGGATTATGGTCATTAGTCAAATCAAATCAAATCAATTTGGCTGGTCCTAGTTGGAAATTTAATTTGTTCTTCTTCTTTTTTTTTTTTTTTTTTTTTTTTGTTAAAAACATTAACAGTTTTGACCTATATATGCATGCATATACATATATATAATATGTATATAAATGGGTTGAAATTTCTTTAAAAATATTCATGTATTTTAATATTGTTATATATGAAAAAAGGAGATCACCATAATAAATTTCCTTACATGTAATCATAAATATTTCGATTTCAAGATTTTTAAGATAAAATCGTGATTTTTTTTCATAAATATTATACTCTTAACCTAAATAAAATAAGTTTAATCGGATAAAAAAAATAATCTTAACCTTAAATGTCCACGTACACACATATATACATATATATATATATTTGCATATGCATACGTTCCATTAATTTGTAAAATTCGTATGATAAATTTATTGATTATTATATAAATAATCACCATAGTTTAAAAATGTGTAGTGTGATTTATTTTCAATAAATTTAAATCACTAAAACAATTGTGATTAACAAAATTTAAAGTTAATTATTATTTTTAACGATTCTAAATTACTAAATTGTAAATTACTAATTAATATTACATATTAATTAATTAATTATTAGCTCGTGCTTTTCCATAATTAATTGAAATTTTTAATTTTTGATTAATCAATCAAATTAAACCTAATTTTTCCAGATTAATAAAAAATTTAAACAGGGTTCCTGAATTGTTGTGGTTATCTCAAACTCTTAAGAGAAGCAAAAGAAATCCAGGAGAACAAAATCTAATTGGGCCAGGCAGGGTGGTGCGCAGTACGCACGAGTGCGTAGAATAACAAGCAACAGTTAATCCCACCTCTACATTCCCCTCTCCGAAACCAATTAGGTATTAAACATGGAAATATAAAAAGCCTTCCAATAATAATTAAGACGTAGAATTCATATTTAACCCAAAGAGAAAAATACAACCTGCAACACCACCAAACAACAACAAAACAACTCCAGAGAGTGAAAATCTTTTACAATCCAGAACGGTAAGTGAAAAGTTCTCTCTGTTTTCTCGTTTTCTAATTTAATCGTGTTGATTCTTGATGATCTTATTCTGTTTCTTTTTTATTTTCTTTGTGATCAATTTGTTGCTTGAATTGATATCTGTTTCGTGGAAATTTAAATTTGTTCGTCGTTTGTTGAGTTCTCTGTTTCTCTTGACTGTCTGTTTGGTCGCTGGGAAGACGAAGGAAAATACAAGAAATTAATTTTTGGAGTTTTTTCGTTATATCTCTTTCGGTATGAAAATTTAATAACTTGAACTCAGTAAGTAGTTTGTGCTACGTTGTTTCTGATTAGAGTTCTTTATATTTTATTTTTCTTTGTTTTTTCCTTTCGGCCTCAATGAAGGAAATTTAGATTCATATTTCTGCTTCCGTGTTTAGTTTCATTTCAATCAAACAGAGTACTGAATGTATAAAGTTTCGCTCTATTTTCTTTCAAAATAGAATCTATGTTGTCTCTCTTTTCTTTTCCTAAAAAAATTCAATCTGCCTCAAGAATCGGTTAAACTCCGGGTTATTTTCGTTTCTGTTGTCTTCGTTGTCTGCAAAGAAGCGGACGCAGAGACAAAAGGTCCAAAAGAAGGAAATTAAAGTTCGCGTCTATGCGTTACGATGGTTGATGTCTGGAGAAACTGAAAACATTCAACCGACTAAAGCCAAGTCGCGCCCGTCGATCCTCTCCCCCTTTCTCCCCCCCGCACGGTTTCTGCAATACGAATCAATGTAGGATTAGAAGTTAAGAAAATTTTGATCTGTCTTTCTGTTCCCTAGTTTCTCATGGCAACCATGTGTAGTACAAAGGATAAAACCCTTGTGATGTTTTATTTCGATTGTTGTAATATAGGATAGCTAGATATCTGTTTTAATAGTAGTTATTTCCATGTTTTGGTTGGGTAGATTTCATTATATTCGTTACTGCACATCTGGTGACTGATTTAGGCATCCGCAGATGGATTTTTGACAGCCGTATATAACTTTTTGTACATCACTTTTTGCTGAAATATCTTATTACTTTATTACTCTTTTTTTTAGATTTCCAAATGTGCAAAGCTTATTATTTGAGTTGGAGTTGATTGTTTGTTGTTTTAGCCTCCAGGTCTCCTGCTATTTCTTTTTCTTTTTCTCCATAAACTAATTAATTCAGTTTATAACAGGTTAGCCTGAATCGAAATCCAGGGTGGTATATTTGCAGTCATGAGATTCAAGAAAGGAAGTAAAGTGGAAGTTTTAAGCAACAAAGGGATTCCCTCTGGTACATGGCAATGTGCTGAGATAATGTGTAGTAATGGCCACTACTACACAGTTAGATATGATGGGCTTGCTGATGAGACAGAGAGGGTGTCCAAGAAGGTCATCAGGCCTTCTCCTCCTCCGGAAGTTTCTGGAAATTGGGCTCCAGGTGATGTCGTAGAGGTGCTTGACAATTTTTCTTGGAAGATGGCAAAAGTCTTAGAAGTCTCGGGTAAAAACCACTTCTTCGTCAGGTTACTTGGATCTTCTATTGAATTCAAAGTGCATAAATTTGATATCCGAGTTAGACTGTCTTGGCATGATGGCAAATGGGTGATCATTGGAAAGGTACTCTTATCTTGTTATATCGTGTTTCTTTCACTGATTTACTATGCTAAATTTGTTTTCTTGTTTGAGTATTTATTAATTTAAATCGATGAACTTCAAATTGTTGAGAAGAATGGAGCTCGTTCTGAATTTAAATTCATGATTAGTTATGTTTAAAGTGGCAATTTAAATTGAGGCAGTTAGAAGTGTCTGGGTCATAAAAGTAGCTTTCAACTGTTATACATTGTTCAAAAATAAGTTCTTCTGATAAGAATATGCTAATTAATTTTTATATTTATTTTCCTTGAAATACAGGGTTCTGGAAGTTGTGAAGAGGGGAAACATCCTGAAAATTTAACTCTGAAGTACTGTGACAACTCAACTGCCCAAGATGAGAAGACTAACACTAGGACAAATCTAAATTTTGAAGATGATCAGACTCCTGTTAGGAATGAAGAAGATTTATGGAAATCCTATATTTCTTCCTCTAAAACTTTGAAAAGAGAAAGCTATTTTCAGGTTGAAGTATTTCATGGGGAAACTAAAAAATTTAGAGCGATTGAGAAAGATGGCAGGGTTAACCGAGTTGTTGCTGCAGATCCATCCACTTTACTGGAACAGGAAGATGTTGTTGCATGCCCAAGGGAAATTGTGGGTGAAAAATGCTTACTTGCTTCTATTGACAGAAGAAAAATTAGAATTTCTGAAAAGCAAACACACCGGAGGGACCAAAATTGTGCTGTTGGATGTTCTTTTGCAGAAAACTTAGAACCAAATGAAGCTGAAAGTGTCAAATGTTCTGTTGGTAGCTGTAGCATTGGTGGCAACAGTGAATATGAGTTTCCTCGTTATTTTTCTTCAGGTCCAGTTAAAGATGACAGTCATATTAGTGATGCTGAATCTTGTTCTTCCTCAGGATACAATGAAGGAATTTGTCTTGCCCCGACAAAGGAGGTTTTGGCAGCTGAAATCCATAGGGTTAGAGTTGCATGCCTATCGTTGCACTATAGAGGCATTGCATGCATCGGGACCTTTAAGTTGGGAAAAGGAAGCATTGGTGACAAATCTTCGTATTTCCCTTAATATATCAAATGATGAACATTTGATGGAGCTAAGAAACTTAATCTCTAGTAATAACAATGTCCATATCAGATAACAAAAGAATCTTTTACTTCTTTTTTTTCCTTTTCTCTTTTAATCTAGATGTAGAATCTGATAATATTTCCTTTGATGGCTCCGCCCTTTTTGTAAGAAATAGGATGAAGTGTTGTCAATCTTCTTTTGCATTTTACAACATAAAAGTGGTATAGTTGAGATGAATGTAACAGAAACCTTGTGTAGCACTGGAATTTCTTTTAAGTTTGTTTGTCATTTCTTTACTCTCTTCTTTCCTGTATGTTTTATTTGGGTTAATTTTGGACTTCAAGTGGTAGTCATATGTTCCATCTGGTTTGACTGCAACCTATAAAATAGAGGTTGCAAATTAGCAAATGCCTGGATTATAGTTTCTGACTGGTGTAAGTTTCTGTACAGTAGGGGATATGTATGTCACATTTACACTTTTCCATGTAAATCTTCTGATGACATGTGGATCAAACTATAATATCATCTCAAAATGACCTGTTGGTAACATGTTTCCCATCTTAATCATATCATTGATATAGTGGGTTTCAATATTGCAATGATCAAGACGGCTGCTTAGTTGTCTCTTATCCTGTGATTTATCCATATCATTGGCAGCATAAGTGTTTCATTTAAGGACACTATTGATGCTTCCCCTGCATTTTCCAGGACTGGAGTAGGAGGCTTGTTCGCCTTGCTTCCAAATGTTCAAAGATGAAGTAGGGTTTTGCCTCCTTTCTTCTCTTGGTTTAACTGCTGGGGCAATTTAATTACGATGGCATTGTATGAGCCTATTTATGTCGTTGCTGATTCTTGCATTTCAGGCCACCTGTGAGCCCTTGATCTCTGTCTGCTGGGGGCATCAAAACAGAATCCTGTGGCTGACATGGGATAACCTGATAATTATTGCTTGCAAGGTTTTATTTCAGACCCTTACTACATCTGTCAAGAGTCATGTATGAAAATATTCCTGTTCCTTTTTCGTAGTTATTTTATCTAATGCTCTTAATTTGAATAATTTTTTTCTGAAAGAAAAAGGATAAGAAGAAAAAAACAAGGCACCAAGGAGTTGCCACCCATATACAAGAAAACAACAAGTTCTCTTCATTTGGATGTTTTACACCCTTTGTTAAATTCTGGATGCTTTGGAATTTGTTGAAGTTTCATTGGAAGTCTTGCAGATAATGGATTGAAATCCTTATGACACGTACTTTTGGGATGAGGACAAGTACAAAACTTGTTGAATAGTGAACCGTGTTTGTATATATTCTGTAGATTTGCTAAAAAAAGGGACCAGTTTTTGGTGAAGCATAGCAGAGTGATGAAATGCCTTTATCTTTCTCAAATTTGGTAGAATTAATCATGTAATAGCACCTTCTTCCAAGAGCTCCTAGATCATACGACAGTATCTTCTTTATCTCAAGTGGCAGGTGAACTTGAGTTTGTTCTTTCAATTTCTGGATTTTATCTTAGTACTCATCATTGTGTTTCTTATCCTACCAGCTAACCATTATTCATGCATGCCTGGTATGCTTTAATGTTGTCCACTTACCAAAAATAGTAAATGATAGCTATACAACCTGTTAGCTGATTCCCATTCCCTAGTCAAGAGGATATTGGATAAAACATGTATGTTGTTTCTTGTGCTATCGTCTGCATATAATTCGTTCAAGCCTCTAATAACTTTATCTGGTACAATTACGGAGAACAGTAGATAACGTCGTAGGCTGCTGGCGGCTGAGAGGATTCTGAATGAAACATGAGTTTCAGAAATTGTTCTTTCTACCACCTGATGAGACAGTAAGCTACCAGTTATATTATGTGCATTTTTTTTACGACAGGAATTACTGAAAATAAATTTCTCCTATTCCCTTTCATGAGTACTTATGTTGCAATATGAACTAATGCAACTATCTACACATTGAGAAGAACTAATAGAGAGAAGACAGTGGTAGTCTTTTTATTGGGAGTGCCTCCTTTCAGGACTATTTGTTTATTAATGGAGAGAACCTTACCAATGGGTGGTGGTATGTGTCCTAAATTCTCTGTGAGTATCTGCTTTATTGGATTTTTGAGAGAAACTCATTTGCTTTGGTATCACAATTATTGCTTAAATGCTGATGGAACTTTCACGAGAAGCTCTTCAATAATTCTGGTGATCTTATTTGAGATGGTTTTGCTTCTTATCCATTTGTAGTTCTGAACCTAATATTCTATGTATCTTTGGGTTAAAGGATGGAATCTTGGTCTTGTGATTTACTTGTTTCAGTACCGTGAGTTCTTATGTACTGTTTTTCATTGATGCTATGGTATCTTAGCCTGAAAATGTTCTCTCCTTTTTGACAAATGATAAAAATATATCTTTCCTTAGAAGAAGTGTCAAATATGATATGCATGCAATTGGGCCGAGCTTAGAGGAATATGTTATACATTGTAAATGACATGATATCTTGGTAAAGTTGTATGCACTATGAAACCTTTGTGACGTGTTAGGGAACTAATAAGTTGAATTAAATTGAATCCTGAATCTTTTTACCGGCTTGTTTGGTCTCGGGATACTTTTCTCTAACGGATAGTCATTCTTTTCATTAAAAATTCCTGAAAAATGTGATGAGTAATAAAATCTTAACCATTGCAAAATTGATAGAACACAAGGCATAATTGTAAAGCCGATGCATGATTTTAAACCTCATGTCTTCAGAGCCTCCAATCCACAATCATATTTTCTGAAGAAGTGCATCTTCTTGATTGGGAGCTTTTTATATGTATTTTTCTACTGGTTTTTACTATCCTTTTTAACATTCTAGCTTCGGTATTTTGTGTGGCTTCTGGTGCATGTCTGTTCAGGAATTTCAAACCTGCTGGGTGATTATTATTAGACACTTTGGAGCTTAATGAAAGCCTCTTGAGCATTTTTGTCCGGCAGTGGTCAGTAGCTATTGCTATCTGAAGGGCAAGAGATAGAGGCTGTCGCTTAACAGACCTTGGGCCTACTTCAACTATATGCTTGTTCGTAAGCAAACATCTGGGGGTCCCGAACATATTTCGATATTCTTTCAATAGATTGTAAGTTAAGAAGTCCACTCATTGTCTTGGTAAGTAACAGACATCTTAAGCTTATCTTTTATCAGTTTAGGGTTCAACCGTCTTTCATAATCTGGAAATTCAGAAAAAAAAAAAAACTCTGATGTGTCATCTCAGCATTGCTGAACATATCTTTGAACACCACTAGATGACATAAAATGAGTGGTGGAGCCAGACAAAGACTGCATTAAGACAAAAAGTTTTAACAGCTTTTGGTATCTCCAATAAGTTCTTCAAGAACACGACGAAAAACGCTCTTGTCCAGGAATGTCTGATGCACATTGAGATTTCTCTTCATTTCTTTATGCTGCTAGCATTTATCCAGCAGTCATATTTTTATTTAACAAAGTTAAACAAATGAAAATTAGTTGGGTTATGAATGTTGCTGATATCTTGTGTCTATCTTATTTGAGGGAATTAACTTACTTGTTGAAATAGGATTAATGTGCTTTTTGTTTGACTCACATGTCCACTGACCACGTGAGCATGTACTCTATATATAAATTATTTCTACGGTGTATGGTGATTCTCTTTGAAGAGTTCTTGTATAATTATTGCATGGAGGAGATTGGAATCTATCTGGATCATGTCTTTACTATATAAAAAATGACAGCTTGATTCTGGAACATCCAAACTCATCGTAGGTAAATAAACTGGAATGTGAAGTGGTGTTTATTTGGAAGGTTAGACGGGCCTGTAATAGATGGCTAGCCCGACGAATGGCGGGGTCTACCGAAAACTCTACTTTTGGATCATGTGCAGCAAGATGGGTCAGGGGCCTTCGGTGACAGATTAGAATTGGCAGTTGAGAAACATTATCCCTTCTGGCAGTTAAGTTCTCGAGCTTATGATATTTTGATTCTATTCACTGTTTTAAAAACATCATAATTTAGACAGAGAAAAAATAAATGTAAGTTAGTGTCTGTAATTCGAGCTATTAGTGTCATGTTTGGTTAAAAGAACAGGAAAAAGGAAATTCCATGATTAATTAGAAGTATAAATTGGAGTGAAAGCTTGGATAGAAGTCTAATCAGAAGTGTCAGTGACACTGAAAAAGAAACCATCTTCCTCTGTAAGCCGACATCTCCTTTGTTTGATTAGCCACTTCAAACTTTGATTATCACCACCATGAAAAAACATTTCAAATCAAGTACTTGTTGCAGTCATTCATTTTAAGAAAAGTTGCATTTGGGTGTTTATTATATGATATGATATATCATCATTTATGTGCTGTAATTTCCATGCTTCTTCACTGTTTGTCTTGTCTCATAAATAATAATATTTATTTTATTTTTTACTTTTTTTTTTTTTTTTCTTTTTCTGTTTTTCTAATTTTGTTCTCAAGGTAGGCACTGGCTTATACATGTATAAGGAAGGATGTGGAGAGTACACAAAAAATGAGTACTTGAGGTAGAGCATGAAAGAAATGGTGGGCAAATATCACAGGTGGGTATGTCACTGATATTAGCCACAGAGTTTCCGAAGGTATCTTTTGTTTTGAATGAGAGCACAAGAGTTTAGGGACAGGATATGAATTCCGTATCACTATTTTTTATATGTATTTATATATATATATATATATATATAGATTTAGGGATTGATTTTTCAGAAATAAAACTAATATATAGAAGAGGGGAAAGAGAGGGAAAAAGAAAAAAGAAAGAGAGAGAGGGTACAAATGAGTAGTGCATTAAGTGGCTCCACCAAATCCTCTGCCATTGTCTCATTTGCTTGGTCTTCATAATTAGTATTCCCATGTGATGATGCCTCTCTGAGACACAACGAGGGAGGCACTGCTCCTACCGTTCGGATTATGCCCTACCATCATTTGCCCCTGTTTCTTTTTTTTTTTTTTTTTTTTTTAATATATATATATATTTATATATTTACCAACACATATTCAAAAATATTTGGTTTAATTTATTATTTTACTATATGACAGTCTGATCTAATGACTAATTCACATATCTAATCATGCAAAATTTATATATTACATTGATATAAGTTTGAGTAAAATTGATTATTATAACATATATATATATATATATATCAGAAGATATGGCATCTGTTTACAGGATTTTAGATGAATTAGATGAGATCATTGCTCAAGTTTTTGGTGCAAAATATGAATTGTATT